GTGCATATTATTATCTCTGCAGGTCTATCTAGATAACATAGGTGGGATAAACAATCTGGAGGAGAAAACAACGGTGCCTACAGTTCCAGGGGGACATGGGGGAGGGGGAGGTGGGGGAAAGAAAGTGGTGTTAACAAACCCAGGGATAAGGGAACAACAAGTGATCCAAATCGGTGGTGAGGAGGGTGTAGGAGACCTGGCAGGGCATGATCAAGGGTAAAGTAACCAAGAGGAATTACTGTAACCCAAATGAAGGCACAGAATGATCGTGGGACAAGAGGAAAGTTAAAGGAAATAGATGAAAGAGCTAGGAGGCAAAGGGCATTTACAGAGGTCTAAATAAAGGCATGTACATACATAAATATATTTAAATACGAGGATGGGGAAATAAGATTTATGTGCATATATTCATAGGTTTAGTATTAAGGTAGCAGATGGACCTTTGGCCTCCAATGAAGTACTTCCTCAATGCAAGAACACTTTGTTCTATTAAACTGGCATTCCATGATGCTTACCTTCCCGACATGATCATTGAAGACAAAATGGGTGCATAAGCAAATGTGGTGAAGAAAAATGATGGTACCTGGCTATGAAAAGACAAAGTGTCTGGGGTCTTAAAGGCTTGAAGGTAAACAAGTGGCCATGTAGCTGAGAAGCAACAAAGCCCACATGGAAGAAGCACACCAGCCTGTGTGATTTTGAGGTGCCGAAGGGATCAATTACCAGGTATCAAAGAACAAAACATCCTATCATTGTGAATGATGAGGAGTGCGGGGTGGGGACCTAAAGCCCATCTGTAGGCAACAGGACATCCCTTTAAGGAAGAGTCGCAGGGAGGAGACGAGCCAGTCAGGGTGCAGCGCAGCAACGATGAAACATACAACTTTCCTCTAGTTCTAAATGCTTCCTCCCCCCCCACAATCATGATCCCAATCCCACTTTACAAATCTGGCTAGAACAGAGGATGTACAGTGGTACAGATAGGAACCGGAAACACAGGGAATCCAAGATGGATGATCCCTTCAGGACCAGTGGTGTGAGTGGTGATACCGGGAGGGTAGAGGGAGAGTGGGTTGGAAAGAGGGAACTGATTACAAGGAACTATATGTGACTTCCTCCCTTGGGGGTCGGATGACAGAAAAGTGGGTGAAGGGAGACGTCGGACAGGGCAAGATATGACAAAATAATAATTTCTAAATTATCAAGGGCTCATGAGGGAGGGGAAAAATGAGGACCTAATGCCAGGGGCTTAAGTGGAAAGGAAATGTTTTGAGAATGATGAGGGCAATGAATGTACAAATGTGCTTTACACAATTGATGTATGTATGGATTGTGATAAGAGTTGTATAAGCCCCTAATAAAACGATTAAAGAAAAAAACAAAACAATATGCACTGTGATGATGGTGACTACTGACAAAACTCCCCTGTCTATGCCCACGCTAACATCGTGGAGCATCCAGATGAAGGAGATGCTACTTCAGAATGCCTTTCCTTCGACTTTCTGAAGTACATACAGATGGTTTATCCCCATGGAGAACAATCCCTTCCCTGCTTCCACTGGCCTTGCCCGCTCCCGCAGTTCACGTTACAGCAGGATTCTGAATGTAAGCAGCCATCAAAAACATGAAAAGTGAGCCTTTTACTTGACCACGTGAGCTAAGAATCTTCTCTTTGAAACAATCACACCAATCTATCAGTGAAATACAGGCAAAGAGCTAGGCTTATCTCAATAAGGGGCAGACGGATTTGCCTTTCTTTTCACAGTACCTGAAGATATTCCCAACAGCCTGGTGGCTGGGCAGGGAAAGTGTCTGTAACGGAATGAATCCACCCTGACCCCACCCCCAAGTCGGTCTTTTTTTTTTTTTAAATCATTTTATTGAGGGCTCTTACAACTCATCACAATCCATACATACATCAATTGTGTAAAGCACATTTGTACATTCATTCTCAAAACATTTGCTCTCCACTTAAGCCCCTGGCATCAGCTCATTTTCCCCCTTCCCTCCCTGCTCCCCCCTCCTTCATAAACCTTTGGTAATTCACAAGTCATTACTCTGTTATATCCTACACTGTCTGACGTATCCTTCACCCACTTTTATGTTTTTTCATATCAGTGCGATATATCGT